CGGGGTCAGAATATGGGTGGTACTAAGCCGCTATGGATGGCCTTCGTGCTGCTGTCAGGGCGAATATACGGTCACCATTTGTATAAAGGCGAATGACAAGGATAGGGTTTGGGTTGATAATGTTTGGAATCAGGAGTCAGTTAACGATCCTCGTCATTATCTTGGTATCTAGTACAGGTTTAACATTAGGGTTAGCATGCGCATATACATACAGGGTTCGCACGCGCATATACATACATACATGTACTTACACACATATGGGCAAGAGTCCCTCAGCAAGTCTAGCATGATCATATACTATAGTGAGAAAGTGGGCGCCCTTTACAATATGTTGAAGTAACCAAACAAACGCTGGTATCATCCTCACAAATCTAAGGGCTATCATTTGGGGAACGCCAGAGCGAAGACAGCAAGGATCGTGGTTCTTAGTGGATTTCGTGTTGTGCAGTTTAATATTAGCATGAGTATGACGACAACCGTTGAAGCAAATGCTTGGGCGGTATCCAGCTTACATGTATTACTGTTAACAGTAACTAGTATTGGGGATGCCATGCCTTTTGACTGAGGGCACTTGAATGGGATCCCACAGCTACATCTGGAAGAGCTAACATGTTGATGAGGCCAATGGTCGGGGTTTCTCCGAAGGCCATTATTTGGGTTGCAGTTGAAAGGAATATCCGGTACAGGGAAGCTCTCATGAGTAATATTAAGTTGACGAGTAAGGTCCATCTTGGGGGACTGCGATATCCTTACTATCAGGGGGCCAATCAGGCTGATGTATGTTGTAGTGTTAACCTTCAGGTCGGTATGGATATTGATACGGGATGACATAGTGGGGTTACAAGTCGACATAACATTTTAACCCATACGAACTAAGATCTGAATCTATAAGGCATCCGTTTTCGGTGAACATGAACTAGAAGACTACCTTCACCATTGGGGCCAATGTAAGGTCTAATGGCAGGGTTAGTCTTGGGGATATTGCTTTTGACGAACTGAAGTCACGGTCATTCATACCTAGTGCTGGGGCTTTGATCTGAAACTACAGCGAAGGCTATCTCGGGAGTTACTGCTCGGGCCTATATTGAGCTTCGGGTATTCAAACAGAAATTACTCTCATCGTTGTGGAAATTATCTCTCAGAGTATCTGCGTGAAGGGTCGCAAGAATTGAGACTGAAGGCGGCTGCCAATATACATATGCTGACCCCTCGGAGCTTCAAAACCTAACGCTAAGTCGGGATCATACACCAGAAGCCTAAACCTAGGAGCATTGGTGGTCCCGTCACCTCGCTGTAGCTCTTTGGGGGGTGGGGGTAGCATATATATATATATATATATATATAGAAACACATATGTACCTGTGTGTATCGCATGTGTCTATTATACATATATATATATAAATATGTATTTATGCACGTATGCATATATAAATATACTCGCATTCGCATTAATTTGTAGTGGTTTAGGAGCCGAAGTTTGTGTGAGGGGCACCTACGTTCCTGGGTCTTGGCCAAAACCAACTCGCAGCAACCGTAAACCCGAACCAAATCTTCGACCCGCATCCTCTAAACTAAAGCGCAAAGCCATATGGGAGTTTCCGAAAATTAGGGTACCCTATTTTGGGGTCCTTATAATAAGGATCCTACTATTTAGGGTACTATATTAGGGCCCCCTATTTTCGGAATCTCCCATATTCCTGGAGTGCCTGAGCCACAGCTCAGGCCCCAGCCCAGTGCTGTAGCCATGGTTTGCAACGCCTGCCGCGACACCTCGTGGGTTCCAAGCGTATCTACCTGTCTACGTAAATACATATATAATCATATGTGCATAAATATATATATATATATACAACTTACTTATATATATATATATGTACATACATGCTTTCATACATACATGCATAAATACATACATACACCTACATACACATACATACACATACGTACACATACATACAGATACACACACATACACAGACATACACATACACACATACATACACATACACATACATGCACATGCATACACATACATAAGCATACAGACACATACAGACACATATAATATAATATACATACACATACATACACATGCCGCACACATACATACATACATACATACATACATATGTATGTATGTACGTATGTACGTATGTACGTATGTACGTATGTACGTGCGTATGTATGTATGTATGTATGTATGTATGTGCATGCGTGTATATATATATATATATGTATATGTATACATGTGTATATATATATATATATGCATAGAGGCATTTGCGTAGAAGAACTGAAGAACTTAAATGTAGAGCGTGAGGTCCCCAATGGCCCTATGGACTATGGCATGACTCTGTCGGTTGCCCTACAGGCGAGATATTTAGAATATCGTATACCTTAAACCCTAAACCGCTAAACGGGTAAACCCTAAATCCGTGTAATACGTCCGTATAGTATGATCTATGCTATCATACAATATATCGGGTCGAGATCCAGGCTCCCCACCGCAAATCTCAAGCTGAAAATCTCGAAGCCAAACCGAGCCACACGGTTTCAAAAGTTCAAGCCCTGCACCCGAAGTCGCGAAGGGACGTTTATATAGTGGATCGCACGACACCAAATTGTTTGTGGCTTTCGGGTTTAGGGCTCAGGAGTGGCCCAGTTGTTGTTCCGAGTACATGGTGTGCATCTGGAAGCACATAAAGGACAGTCACACTATCAACTGGACCGGCTTGTGTGGCCGTGTCTGCGCGAGCATGTGTAAACCCGACTTGTGCTTTCTCATATATGTATGTAACACAAAGACACAAGCTCTAAGTCTCTCTCTCTCTCTCACTTTGCACACCGCTAGCTGCTAGCTTCACGACGATGCTTCGCATATGGGATAAGAGGGTTGGCAAGAAGTAGGAATAAGTCTCCTGTGCTTTAATAAGCTTCAACATGCAGAGACTGCACTAGCCCATTTCAGAGGAATACACCTTGAATTCTAGAGGACATCCTTATCTGTCTCTCCTTAGCTGGTCGAGAAGGGAAAAAGGCGTGAGGAGACAGTGGCCCCGAACCAGCAAAACAGCAACAACAAAAAACAAATATGCAACCCTAGTCCCGGACATAATCCCGGAAGCCTAGTCCATAAACCCCCCAAGCTCAAGCCCCTAAACCCTAAACCCTAAACCCTAAACCCTAAATGCGCCCTACTTGCTCGTTACAGTTGGGACCCGACTCGTCGGATTTCAGCATCGCGATTTCGGAGCCCCGTCGCCTCAGCACGGCACTGATCCCTAAACCCTAAACTCTAAACCCTAAACCGCTGGAGTTCGGGTCTCGGGCTTCCTTTGTACCTAAACTCCTCCAAAGTAGGTAAAAACCATGGCACAGCACCTCTTAAAGGCTATGATTCTACATCCTTTTGGGGTCCAGGTAGGGCCTAAAAATGGGGTTTAGGGGTCTTGCGATGTGACTTGGAGACTGTATGGAGACTGCGGGGTTGCCCCGTCAACCTGGCAACAAGACCAATGAAGGTTCCACCACTAATGGCCTTAAAGTAGGGGCCTGAAAAATTCGAATAGGGTTCCTTTAACGAGATCCTTAAAGGGTTCTATAAAGATCTACAATGGGGTTCTATAGTAGGGGCCTGAATAACTAGAACAGGGTTTTGGGTATATTTTACTATAATGATACCGAGGAGACCGTATAGGTAATTGTTAAGGCCCCTATATTAGAAGGTGTCTGTGCGTGCCCAAAAGAAAAGCTTAAGGGACGCCTCCACAAGGGCCTCATACGGTGTTCTCTGCGTCTTTTTGTCGGGTGAAGCTCACGAGGCCACCCGAGCCGCACTGTGAAATCCTTGTCAACACATGGCAATAACGGGCTTCGTCGTCCGACCATCTTATGTTGGGGCTTATTGCAAGGATCCTAATGCTCGGGGTCTAGACCCTGATCCTCTGATGTCTGAAACTCGCCAATACATCCCATGCGCCAGCTCCAAAGTGCGAGGAGGTTTGGAAGTTTAGATCTAGGGTTTAGGATTTAGGGTTGCTGTTGATGTTGGGACACTGCGCTTCCCATTCGACAGAAGCGCTAGGCCATGAGGTTACTCTTGCAGGAAGCACAATTCATATCTAACAGCACGGGCATAGTAACATAGTGAGTCTCTCTGAATGCGGAGCCATTCATTAACCCCAAAGCTGCACAATAAAAGCCGAGGAGAGCAAAACACAGGCCTGTTCCGAAGACAGATCTCCAACTCCCCACCAAAGCCAACATCCCGTAGACTCGCAACTATACAGCCCATACCCTTGAACTCT